TACAGGTTATTCCTCCTAACGTCTTTCATCACAATCTGAGAGTCTTCCACAATCTTGAGAACCATGTCCTCAATTCGAACATTCAGACCCTCTCTAACCAAAGCTCCAATCAAGATCAAGTTCTTTCCTTAAAGAATGAACATATCTCACATTATATAACTCCCTAACAGTCCCGTCAAACATCTTGATGCTAATTCTTCCTATCCCAAGGATTTGGCATGCATGGTTATCAACCATGTATACCACAGCACTATCCAGCTTCTCAAAACTGGAGAACCATTCACTTCTAGGGTACACATGATAGGCCACACTATCCAATATCAATTCGGATTCCTCTGAATAGCAACCTGTAAGACTTATAGAAAGCGAAAAAAATAGAAGTATTAGAAATATTACCATCCGATATAACGATGTTTGCTTCTGATGATGGTTGCTTCCCTTTTCCCTTCTGCTTATTCTTCATCCATTCGTCGAGCTTTGGACAGTCTTTCTTCCAATGACCAGTCTCCTTGCACCAAGCATACTGATCTTTTCTAATTGTAGGATGTCCTACTCTAGAATGTGACTTCTCATTCTTCCGGTTTGGACCCTTCCCTCTTGTGGCTAACGCCTCTGCTACTGACTCAGTCGAAGTCTCCTTATCCTTCTTCCGAAACTGATAATTCACTAGTGCAGCAGTAATCTCACTATACGAAAGAGATGCATTCCCATTAATCAGAGTAAGGATGAAGGTCTTATATTCCTCGTCGGGTAAGGAACTCAACAATAACAACGCCTTGTCCTCATCTTCAATCATGACATCCACATTTGCCAAATCTGTAAGAAGCTTTGTGTAGGTGTTCATGTGATCACTAATTGAGGTTCTCTTTTTCAACTGAAAACGATAAAGTCTTCTCTTCAAATGCAAGCGGTTCTCAACACTCTTTGTCAGATACTTGCTTTCGAGAATCTCCCAAATCTTCTTCGCAAAAGTCTCATTCATCACATCATATTTTAGATCTTGAGTCAAACAAGATCTAATCACACAACACGCGGTTCGATTCATCTTCTTCCAAACCTTCTCTTCAATATCATCTGGCTTGCCATCTAACTCTAAGGTATCTTCTAAATTCCGCGTGTTCAACGCATCCAAAACCTCGCATCTCCATAATCCAAAGATGTTTGTGCCATTAAATTTCTCCACATCTATCTTCATAGAGTGGATATTCAAACTCTGAATGGTCTTCATGTCAAAAGCACCACCCTCGACACCCGAAGCACCTTCTTTTCCCGACATCTTTCTTAACGCACCAACGAATGAAGAATAGATCCAAAACTACACCAAAGAATAAAGAATAGATCCAAAACTAAAAAGATAGAGTCTTTATCACCAAACAAAGTCCTAGACGAGCCTCCAAATTGATCTACTCCTCCAACCAAACCCTAGATCTGGAACCTGGGCTCTGATACCACTTGTTATGCGTAGCAAAAATTTTGGCAGAGTTTTTGGTGCACAATAAGAGAGGAAGATCTCTATAAGAATTTTCGTCCCACCAAAAAAATAAGAATCTGAAGCGAATATCTCAACAAAGTAAGATATCGGATCTTCCTCTCATCAGTTCTAGGACTGACTTATCGAGTGACCCTAATAAACTATTATAATGGCCATAAATACAAACCACACAAGTTTTACGTGGTTCGGCAAATTGTCTACGTCCACGGGGCAAGGAGGGGGGAGATATACTATTAGAGAGAAGATAATACAACTAGGGTTTACAATCACTCAATCTAAACCCTCAAACTAACTCTCTAATCTCTCACAAAAAAGAACAGCCGCCAAATAGGATTTTTCTCATCTGCACGAAGTCCAAGAAAAAATCAACAACAGCCCTTTGCACACCGTCCAAGTCAATGCCTCTGCACAGAACTTCACGCAGCCACTTTTCTTTCTCCGCTCCCCTCACTTCACGCTGCCCTAGGAGAGAATCATCAACTATATATATAGCAGATGATATCGGGTAACCGGGTAATCGGCTTTTGTCCGTTGGACTCATCACTTCACGTGGTTTTGCTTTCACATGCTTCTCTTACGCTCGTGGTCCCCACACACAAGCCAGCAAAGAGAGCCCTTCCCTTCACGAGTTTACCTCCAAAATCCGCTGGCTCATGCTAGCCTCCCACATGTCTTGGGCTTTGTCCAGGGAACAAAAGAAATCACTCACGCACGTTTTATCTTCTCACAAAAATATCATCAAATAAGCAACTATATACCAAACAAACCCTAGGCAAAAGAATGTAAAAAAATATATAACAAATTAGGGCTAGTGAATTAGGATTTTTTTTATAAAGCAAATTAGGGTTTCCAGTTCGCCTTGTTGATGTATTATGATTGAGGAGGAGGAGGATCAACGAAGATTGTTGGATTTGATGGTCTCCATGAAGGAGACGAAGAAGGTTCGACCACTGCTGACTTGAGGAGAGGAGATAGGCGAAGGGAGGAGCAAAGAACGGAGGAACGACGAGTGAAGGAGCATCGAGCTGAGGAGCAGCGGCACAAGAAAGAGCGATTAGGTTTGAGAAATCGACCTCTGAGAAGTGGGGTCAGAGTCCCCTAGACTTGGATTAGGATATTTATGGAACGGGTCGGGTTAGGTTTGGGTTTCATGAGGATGTATTAAAGGGACCCAATTCAATACACTTACGTTCTAGTTAAGTGTTCTGGATATCTAGACCGTATTAGATAATTGGATCAGATAATTGTATCCAAAATCATATTTGCAAAAAAAATCTGAACCCATAACTGAAATTGTGTCCATAGCTGACTAGTTTCACATTTTCATTAACATCAGTGGCGTAGTCAGAATTTTTTTTGCCCTGGGCGAAAAATAAAGGGATTGTGTTGAGCAAGAGGAAGTAGAGGAGGCCGAGAAGAACAGTCGATGTATTTAAATACACTTACAATTTGAGAGAAGCTCTCAATTTCATAGAGTAGCAAAATAATACTGGAGATCCACATCTCTTCAAATTTCACTTCAATCCTATCCCATTCGATCATTCAATCCAGCTAATGGACCCAAGCAATGTCGCTCCGACGGGGCCGGCGGCAACCACCCCAAGCACAAGCTCTAGCTCCTCCGACAGCCTGGCTCCACCATCATCGTCGGCCGCATTCTTGCCCTGGGCAGCTGCCCAGGGTAAGGAAGCCCTAGCTCCACCACTGATTAACATACAGGTACTCATTTCGAATACGGTTCAGATCAATTTGAATATATCTGTGACCACGTAACACTCCTAAGTGTGATGGTTCATGCAAGAAGGCCCTATGCATGGAGCACCTCTTTTGTGCTCATCCTTATATCCTTGCTGGCTTTTTGCTGTTGCGTTTCCGACTCTCCTTCCATTCTTTATGAGCAAATATCCAAAAAGAAAAAAAAATAATTAAAATCCACCATCTAATACTTGAATTTAAACTCTTGAAGGTCATTTCCAAAGATGATAAGTTCCGCAGTCCATGATTGCTTGCATAAGCTATCACTAACAGTTGCTTCTTAACGTCATTTTAGCCATGAGCCTAGTCATTTTTCAAAGTGAGACGATACAGGCACACCACCGGACATATCCTCAGTCACACTCTCTCTTTTGCTACAGTGCAGAGGTCCACATTAGGTTTTAAAAAAAATATCATGTGGACCTCCCTGCACTGTAGTAGGAGATGAAGTGTGACTGAGGGTGTATCCGATGGTGTGTCTCTATCATTTTTCTTTTTCAAATAGAATGGAATGATAACAGACTTTATCGGCAGACTATTAATATTTGTTTTGAAATAGTTGGCTCAATTTTCGTTGCCAGTCTTACCTCCAATTGGCAGAGGATTAATTAATGTCGCATCAAAAATTAGTTTGTGGATTTGTGTGATACGGAATACACATTGATGGATATATAACAGCCTTACCCTATACAGATAAGCAATAAATAATGGTCCCATAGTTGACATAGTTCGGATAAAATTGCAATCAAGTTGTCGGCATCGCTTGTTTTTGTTGGTAAATGTTCAATATTTTAAGTCTGTTTTAACGCAAGTCCCGTACTTAAAGTCTAACTAATTCAAATGAATGGTTTCATTTATTTAAGTTCATAATAATTTTTTGAACCCGGAGCATAAGGTGCTCATTTCATTTTATTTTATTTTTGTCTTGCGCTTAAGAGTGCTGTCCTCAGATAAATTGGAATTGAGTATAGTTACTGTTAGATATTTTGTTAAGAAAAGACAATTTTACCTTTATGAATAGTAATAAAAAATTTATAATTAAAACATGTTTTAATTAGCAATTAAAAATATGTGTAACGGCTATATAATTATGGGGAACGTTACAAAATTTATGACGAACGTTACGGAATTAATTACGGGTTTTGTAACGTCTTTTCCAACCCTATATATATATATCCGTATGTTGAGCTCAAAATGATAAGAAAAAATATACAACAAGTTTCTCTTGTTTTTCTTCTCTCACCTACATATTATTTTCATCTACATCTTAGTTTTATTTTATGGGCAACTTCCTTCATCTGAGCTGAAGCTCTGCACTCTCGCCCGAGTGCAGAGGCCGGCCGTTTCCGGGGGCTTTTACCACTAGGGGGAGGGAACCATCTGCGTCAGGACGATAAGCGGGTTCTCAATCTTCTAGGGCAGTGATTACACGACTGCTTCCGATCAGGCCAGTTTTAATTGTTTATTTCTTTCGGATTTATATGCATGCTATAATCTTAATTATTTAATAAATTTCCAACAATCTATAAGATTGAGAATTTAGTATAGCTGTTTAATTATTAATTCCGAAAAATATATATTTCTTTCTGTTTAAAAAAATTATTAACTATTTTTTTTTGTTGAATAACTACATTTGTAACGCTACATGAATAATGTGTTACAGTCTTGTTATCATATCAATATCATGCGTCAGTCATGAAAAAAAAGAGAGGGTAAATATTCAGTATCCAATCCCCAGCAGTGGCCAAATCCAACTGGTCCTCCCTCTTTCAAGCTACCATCCGAGCGCATAAAACTCGAACCCCATCGTCATCAACGACAGCGAGGCCACCCCCAAAATATCTCTATGTGTACACGTGTCCTGCCCATCGAACTATCAGGAAGTGAACCGTCTTCCCTTGTAATCTCAACCTCTATAAGTTTAAAAAGTCACAGAAAACGAGATTGAAGCCCAGAGTTTAAAAACAACAAAAGCATCAAGAAACTGAGAGAGAAATGGGGAAAATGGGGTACTTGAAGATGAAGACGGACGAAATCAGCAGCGATCTGATCGAATCGGATCTGAGGGAGCTCGGGATCGCGGCTACGAAATTAGCGAATCATGCGCTTGTTTTGGGGAGCGGTTTGGGATTTGGGACTACCTTCCTTAAATTCCTCGCCTCTCTTGCAGCGATGTGAGTTTGATCGTTCAATCTTGGGATTTTTTATTATTATTATTATTATTTGATTTCTCTGTGATTTATTTGGATTTTTGAGTGGATGTTTAGTTGAGTAATAATTTATAAAGAATGATACTCAGTAAGCACTTTATACTTAGGTTTGTCGAAAAGATATGACGAGGAAATCATGTCGGGATTTTTTTTAATGGCTTTGGCAACGGAAAGGCGACCTTTTGTAGTTTCAGAACTTTGGATTAAATTTGAACAAATTTTCACTGTAGACCCAAACCAATTTTTTATTACCAAAATCGACCGATTTTTTTTTTAATTACCTCCGCTTGATCTTTTCGCTGGGATTGTCAGCAGACAGTGTAGGGGCCCGAAATGCAATGGAGTTGCTCATGAAAGACTCGCAGGTAAGATCTTTGTTTGAACAAATTTTCACCGTAGATCCAAACTAATTTTTTATTACTAAAATCGACCGATTTTTTTTAATTATCAAAATCAACCCGTTTTATACCACGTAGGCATAATCCAGTTTCCTAATTAGTCGGGGGTGGCAACCTCGACTGTTTAGGAGTTGTTAAACCGGGTTTTAAGGCTTCTAATCGGGGTTTAACAACTCCTAAACAGTCGGGTTGGCAACCCGACTAATTAGGAAATTGGATTAAGCCTACGTGGCATAAAACGGGTCGATTTTGGTAAAAAAAAAAAACTCGGTCGATTTTGGTAATTAAAATTCTGTTTGGGTCTACAGTGAAAATTTATTCGATTAAATTTTGGTCATTATAGAATCTGGAATTTTAAGTTTGAGGGTCAACTGTCAAGAATATGAATAAAGATCACTAAATTGGGCCTGCTTGCTATATGGCGTGGAATATAGTTTGAGTGTTGTGGTTTTCTTCAATTATATTATTTTGTTTAAAGATATGCCTTGTTTCAAGCCTTGTAGCTTCTTTTAGTTCAATGGTCTGCGCAATTGGTTTATGACCAGAGGGCAAAAAAAATCCTTTTGGTCCAATTGATTAAAACTATTCATCAATGCATTGGGAGAAGATGAGCCTTGTTAATCTAGTTGCATGTAGATGCTGACAAAGATCATTGAAACACTCTTCTGATTTGTGTAATAAAGATATTAGGTGAGTTAAACCAAACTCAAATATCTTAATCCATTGGCCGGTGAGAATAGTTGTGATGATAGGCCATCATCACCAACGTTTTAAAAAGCCTCCGCCTAGCCCGCTTAGGCATACGCCTAGGCCTAGGCGGTACCTTGACCGCCTAGGCCTAGGCGGTACCTTGACCGCCTACCTAGCGCCTAACGCCTACGCAATATATACTGTCCACCTAGGTTTTGGGAGCGCCTAGGTGGTTTGCCTACATGGATTGCACCTTTCAAGCATTAATCGTGATTTCCTTTGTTGTAGCCTCTACGTCCTTCAACCTCCTCCAACTATGAACACCTCCTCTACCTCTCCTGACATTCAACAAAACCTTCTCCACCACCACTTAAGAAATCTACCTAGGTGTCAGTCCAGCGTCTAAGCTTTCCATAACATTGACATTGACTATCAGAAATTGTAATGAAAAACTAAAACCATAGGAAAACACCTAGGTCCAGCCTAGGCTTCCACCTAGGTGCCTAGGCTCTAGGCGTCATGTCCAACGCCTACGCCGCCTAGCGCTTTCGGTATCCTTGATCATCACTTGGTTGTGATCCTTTCTTTTGGGATGCTGCAGATTGAACACATAATTCGGGTAAACTTTGATATGCTTGAACTAATCACAATAACAAAATTTAATAATATTATAATAGATTTAATATTCTAAAACAGAATGAGTATATTTGGGCCTTGTAAAAGGATGCTTATCCAATTAGGAGATTGTACTTTTCAGCAAATTAAGGAGCTTGGGGTTGCTTTTACAGGTGTTTTTGGCATTGGCTTGGTGTAATCATACACACTGAGATTGATCTTGTTGTTATAACCTATAGCTTGGTGTTTTATTCTGCTGGTTCCAGCGTATATATATGTTCTTGTTTTATTATTGGGACCATTTCTTGCAGTGTGCTTGTGTGCGCTTATGAAGGTTCTCGGCCCTTGATATGTTTGTTCTTTAACTTGGTGCTTTCCTTTAAAAAAGCAAAACAACTACATGCATAAACTCTGTGTTATAATAGAGATCTCTTCATGTTTTCGCATAAGCTATAAGAATCTAGGCATGGTGGCTGTTTGCCTTATACTGATACAGGTATTGGGAAAGATGTATACAGGTATTGGGAAAGATGTTCAACCATCTTACTCTTTTGTTTACAAAGAAAATCTTACTGTGTAGAGAAAGAAGTATCTTAAATCCTCTAACATGTAGCTCAAGCAACTAGCATTGAAGCTGGAATAGTCAATGGACTTCTCACCTTAAACTGTGGCTTCATTTGCCAAATAATTGTGTGCTTGCATGTGTCTGCATCCCCTGATCCACATGTGCATTTCTGTCTTTGAGGTTAAAATTATATCATCTTGGCCTCGTAAAGGGTCCCCATCCCTTGAAGCTTTTGTTCTATATCAAAGAGAAAACTTCTTTTTTCCTTTTCTTGTGTTGATACTTGATACTAGAGATCTTTCGATGTTTCCATATAAGCTATAAGAATCTAGGCAGGGCAGCTAACTGGGATTATATTGTTTACGGTAAAATTAAGAAACAGGTTCAACCACCTTACTCTTTTGTTTACAAAGAAAGAAGGACCTTTGGTGGTCTGCATCCACTTCTAGCAAGTAGCGATGCACTTGGAATTACTGTTCTTAATAACTGACTTTTTCTTCTAGTTCCCAAATAAGTGGTCTTATCTTCCTACAACTCAAGTGACAGGAAGCTCTCCATAATTTATTTGAACCTAGCCCTTGATATTATCACAACAGAACCATACCTGTAGGAGACCCCTCATCATAACCCTGAGGAGATAGCTGAGGATGCTTTTGAGGTTGCCGAAAAGTACTGCAACTGAGTCACCCGAAGTTTCCATCCTTAGAGGCAAAACATGCTGGAAATTACTGCAACCGACTTCTAACTTGGAATCCGAAACATGCAGCACATACAACTTCCCTCGACATGTGGAATTATAACCCGAAGTTTCCAGCTTTAGAGGCAAAACTAGGCTTCTAGAATCCTTGAGGAAGGTGACAGTCTAAGGAACAAGATATTGTTCTGTTTAGTACTGCTGAAGGTTTAGACATGGACTAATTCAAAGTTGAAGGAACACAAAAATGATTAGACCTGGCCAGAAAGAAACCAAGCAAGCTAAATGTTGATTATACCCTTTTTCTTTTGTTGCATGGGCAGTTTTTCATTAAGGTAGCCATCAGATGAATCCATTTCAAATCTTTTCCACGTCTTGACACATTTTGATAGGATTAGGTTTTAACGATGAAGGAAATTGTGAGCTCATTTTGACGTCTTTGTTGGGCCTCAAATATGAATGTAATCCCAACTTTTGCAAATCTGATCATGTTTCCCCACTGTCAAATACTTTTAGAAAGTTTTGCGGAGGTTTGGAGTCGCTTATAGTGCATGTGATAATTTATTAGGGAGTTCCCTATGAGTTTCTCAGTAGCACCTAAAAAGTTCGTGAGATTGTTAGAATGTGTTCAGTATATTTTTCAGTATATTTCTCTCTATTTGTTTTATAAGTAGGAGAGAATAGTTTGATTCCTATTAGACTACTAAATGAAGGTGAAATGGTCATGATTGGATGATGCATTATGCTTCCATGTGAAAATGAATATTAAAAGTGAAATGTTGGTTGAATTTTTTAGTGGAATGCTATTGGTGAGGAATTTATAAGTGTAATGTAAACTGGACTGGGAAATGAAAACATTATGATGGATTAACAAAATCTTGATTCCTATTAGACTACTAAATGAAGGTGAAATGGTCATGATTGGATGATGCATTATGCTTCCATGTGAAAACAAATATCAAAAATGAAATGTTGGTTGAATTTTTTAGTGGAATACTATTGGTGAGGAATTTATAAGTGTAATGTAAACTGGACTGGGAAATGAAAACATTATGATGGATTAACAAAATCTGGTTAGATAAACTCCTAGTAACTTCAAATGTTTCAGTCAAGTGTGGTTTCAAACCTATTATGTCCTGAGAAATAAATACTTGCGCTTATGGGCTTTGTCAGTATTGTGAACCATTGTTCAACGTGTGTAGTATCTTGGTCTATCATATACTGGCCAAGGACCATGTTAGCTAATATCCTACAATAGCCTGGACCTACATATAGGATATTAGCTAACATGGTCCTTGGCCAGTATATGATAGACCAAGATAGTACACACGCTGAACAATGGTTCACAATACTGACAAAGCCCATAAGCGCAAGTATTTATTTCTCAGGACTATCATCTCTCAGCCGCCATAAGTTAGTATTCTTAACTGTTCTTGCTTCCCTTTAGAAGTTTATCATTATTCCTGCACATTTACTGTAGTACTGTCGAACAAATTCATTGAAACAGCGTTTGAATTTAACTTTTCTTTTTATGTAATGTGTATTGCAGATATTTGTTGATACTGGATCGCACAAACTGGAAGACAAACATGTTAACATCGCTTTTGATTCCATACATATTCCTGAGTCTTCCTACTGTAATATTCTCATTGTTGAGGTGATTGCCAACATCATTATATCATCCCTTCTTTCATTCTTTCCCTGTTAATTTTTTTTTTAACCTACACTGTGCACTATACATGATCCTTTGCAGAGGGGAGGTTGGCAAATGGATTGCTTTTATTGCTGTTGTGATACGTCTCTTTTTTCCTCGTCATTTCCCAGGTATTTCTAGTTAGTAAGACTTTACATTGGGAAAATTAAGGTTTAGTCACTAATGGATTTTCATGCAGAATAATGGAACCTTATTAGTGTGATTAATGATTTTGCATGAATCAAAAATAACCAGTCTGTCTTTACTTAAAAGACAGATGGCTATCCTCAAGTTTGGAAGTTTAACTAACACTTGCGTCAAATACTTCTGAATACCTTCATGCACTATATGTACTTGGATGCCCTGCCTAGATGCAGGAGCCATTATTGGACATCAGTAAAAGAATATTTTCACATTATGATTGTCAGTGACTAATTTATTATTTTTCTTTATTGCCCGCTAGTTTTGATTGTTTGAACTTTTTGAAGACAGTTTCACTTGGATTTCGATGGTAACTGTGCAGTCCTGCGAATCGAAAACTGAAAGCTTTTCTATTAAATAACAAATCATGGTTGTCAGTTCCTAGTAGAGATCAAATTCATCTAGAGAACTTAGAAATGTATGAGGATAAACATGTTCATTTTTGTTTCTCTCAAGCATTTCAAGCAATTGACCATGGAAAAATTTCTGAAGGTAACAATAATCTCCATAAAAATTTGCTCTCCTAAGATCTTTAATTTCAAATCCAAGATTAAGTCTCTCTCCAAGTCAAAAAGTAAAAAGAGGAACTATACCGTAATTTGTGCTAGGTATATGCAGCTGGCTTTATTTGGATCTTATACGGATTCTCAACTAATAAGCTGTTTTTCTAGTTGTTTTAGTCAACCTTTGCAGTGTATGAAATTGCTTACTTGTGTAGAAATTCATCTATTCATGCTTATCAATCTAATCTTGATTATGCAATGGTCTGATAACATGCATTAAATGTTCTGATTTCAGACTGGTTGGAGATGCCTGGATCATTGCTTCTCCTGCTAGTAGTTTCCCCAAGTTTTTTGGCTGATACAGTTAGGGGTGGCATTATAGGAGTCATCATTTGCCTCATCATCGCCTGCTACCTCCTTCAAGAGCACATTCGAGCATCAGGTGGATTTAGGAATTCTTTCACCCAGAGCAAGGGAGTATCAAACACCATTGGGATTGTTCTCATTATGGTTTACCCAGTTTGGCGTTTGGTTATCTATTTCCTGTAGGGTGTTTTTTGCTATTGTATGGTGATCGTTGTTTTCATTGTTCTGTGAAGCGTGAATTTGATTCTTGGGTGTAATGTTGTAATTGTTGCTTGATCTTGTCTGAACTTGCACACTTTACCTACCATGGTGCATATTCCGTTGTAGTATATTATGCAGTGATTATTTGTTTTCGGGCTCGAGTACTACATTTTTACCGGCAGCTTCGGTGCTCCGATGGTGCCACAGTAAATATGAAGCGAAAATTCGCGCTCTCTAAGTTTGTTGGTGCGCGTAACCGTTTTTAACTTGAAACGTTACTATGGATTTCCACTGGCAATTTTCGTAATTTATTTTAGTAAGAGGGTTTACTATTACCTAGTAACTTTTCTTTTTTTATTTCGTTTTTAATCTTCTCTCACATATCAGATCCAAAAAGTGAACCGCCGTTGGGGCTCATTCACCATTGTCGCAGAATACGTAACTGACTGGCGTCTTCATTTTATTATTGTTTGCAATTTTCTCATCTCTATGTATTCAATCAAATATTATCAAAACACTATACCTCAACTAGACTCGGTGATTGGCTGAAAACCAAAAAAAATAAAAATAAAATAAAATAAAAGAGGTGTAATATTCAGAAAGGATTAGCGGCACAGCTTGTTGCATGCTTGTCATCATCACATGTGTAATATTCAGTTTATAAATAGATATATAAAGAGAAAATTTTACTTCTAAAAAAAAATTTAAAAGAGATGTTTGAACGCCGCCGGGGATTGAATAGCATGGGGAAGGATTCAATTTGGAGAGGGGGGAAGAGATGAAAGAGCTGGGTTTCCTGGGCATGGAGAATAGATGAGCTGAACGATAGAGATTGAAGATGATAAAATTCTACTTTTACCCTTTAATAAAAAAGGGAAAATGAATTGCTGCTTCCGGTAACAAAATGAACTTTATTCAGGACTTGAAATTAAGACTTGTCTGAACTTGTACACTTTAGCCACCATGATGCACATTCCGACGTAATGTGTTATGTGCCCGTTTGGTTGATGAAGAGGGCTTGGGAAAACCTGTCAAAATGACAAAAACTGTCAGTTTTAATAGGCTTTCTGTCCATTTTAACTCATCTTTTCAGCAACCAAACGGACCTTATGTGGTGATTATTCGTCATCGTGCTCGACTAATACTTTTTTTTTTTTTCCTTTTCGGTTACAAGTATCAGGCTTATCTATTACAGCGGAGAATCAAATAGGCTCAGGTAAAAACGAAGAAGATCCGACTCGGACCTGATCAGGACTCGAGCACAGACCTGAAGATGCCTCGCACGCGAGCCCTCTTTAAAAAGGGTAATTACGTAAAAACGTGCCTCGGTCGATGACAAACCCTAGAAAACCCACATCCTATATAATTCCTTGTGCACTTCTGAAGTTCTAAACTATTTCAAAGCCGCCCGTTTCTCTTGTCTTTTTTTCCTCTTTTTTATCTATTTTCGTTTAATTTTACCTTCAAAGACTTTATTTTATTTGTTCGAATTTGGAAAAGGGATGTTTTTTTTTCTCGGTGATGATAAATATAGATGACGAGTCTGATGTATATCCATTCTATAAAGTCATGTGGACAATCGAGGCATTTGTCTGAGAGAAGGAGGAAAAAAAAAGGTTCCTATATCGATTTCTATTTATTTCTTAGTTTTGTATTTCGATCAAAAATTTATATTTTCATGTTAAAAGATTTATTGTAGAAACGGCATAATGATGAACGATTCATTCTGAGATCTTTTTCTCTGAGCGATCCTAATCCTCCTACTCATTCTGAATGCCGCACTCTTTTTCATCTGATAAATTGTTTATCTGTAATTTATGAAAAAGTTAGTTCTTGATATATAGGAAGTTTTTGTGATTTTAATTGTTGAATTCATGTGTCACTAAAGAATCGATTAATATAATAGATCAATATATTGTTTTAAGTTTTGTCTAATCTTCAAATCTAAATATCAAATCGATATTTAAGAAGTTTTTGTTTGTTAGGGTTTTGTTTATTGTTTTTTTTATTTTTTTATTTTTATCTTTTTGGTGCAAGAAAACGAAAAATCGTCTACTTGAGAAATCATGTATTCAAAATTATTTTTAGGCAAGACTCTCTTGAAGATGAATAATAAATGGGGATTAGAAGGTTGATGCATTGGATCAAAAAGACATTTAGAAATGATGATTCTCAAACGTCGGACGAACAAGCAACATGTTGTCAGATATTTAGAAGCCGCATTCTGTGGTTGCGCGTAAATTATGCAAACGTTTTTTTGGACCCAAAAGCTAGAATTTCCTCGTATACACAATGCTTGAAAAGAAAATTCATTAGTTATTTGTATTTATTCTTCTATACTTTAAAAAATCTAAAATTTATTGTTTTGTTATAATTAATTACTGTAGTATAAACAGTAAATAGCCTCCGGTTTTTTTAAGTATTATATTTTAAACATGCTACTTTTAAAAAATTTAATATATTTAATTTGATTATTATATACTGAAAATTAGAATTCATATCTACTATTCTATATTTAATAATTATTATTTATAATATAGTAATTTATTATAGCATAATTTTAAATTCACTTCTCCATGGCTAAGGAGGATTTAAGGATTTAGTGTTTGTACTACTATTGTTTTGCTATAGTATATTAACTGTATTAATAAATATTAAATTTTTTAAGTGTAGAGGAGTAGAAGAGTAAATTTATTGTTTTGCTATAGTATATTTACTGTATTAATAAACAATTAGTATTCATCCCGTGTTAAGCACGGTATCCTTAGGTGGGGTTATTGGTTGGGATATTTTGGAGGATAATGAGATAATTTTGGGGATTCTATTTCAAAGTGTTATTCATTGGTACAATGGAACAAAGATAATACATTTTTGTATTATTGGTTTTTCACGTTGAATTTATCTTAAAATTATCTTTTACTTTATAAACATGATTTCATATGCTAATAATTAATTATTAATGGACAATGATATGCTCTTTGAAATATCCATTTGTTTTTCGAAATGGTTCATTTGCTTGTGGAAATGATCAGTGCTATTGTTCAACTTTATTTTGACTTGTATATTAATTCCAATTTCTTAGCATCATTGAATTTCACATCTGTAAATTCCGACTATATCAACTATAAATTTTAGAGCATGACTATATCAATTCTAGTATTTAGACCCGTGCAAAGCACTATTTCTAAAAGGTTTTCACAACTTCATTGTAGTCATTGATATTAACCAAGGGCTTTTTGCGATTTTATCCAATATGTTTTGTCTTAAATTAATTGTTCCATGTGATAGTATTAAACAATGATTTTTATTAATAAAAAAAAGATTATAACTTGTAGATCCCGTAGAAGGGGAAAATAACCAGATAAAAACACATAAATCCTTGGAATCAACTATATATTAGAAGCGTGGAATTCAACACATCAAAATTGGGCAAAAGCAGCCATATTGAGCTTGGTTTAGACAATCATTCTCATAGTCACCTTAAAAGAAGAAACACATACTCCAAACAAGAGCATTAAGAGCTACTCGCAGAGAAGAAACATACATCCATTAAATTGGATAGAATCATATTTGTTTCTGCGTAGTATTGAACACAACCATACTATCTAAAAGATGTACTATAAATGAAAAATTACAAAATCTCATATGGACTCTTTTACTCTCCTATGAACTCACTTATTTCAAATTCTCTTCAACATTATCATGATAATAATCATTCAACTTTGGTTCTTAAAAGAAATTTAAATCACCAATCTAATTTGTATTAAACCATATAAAAATTTGTATTATAACCTACAAAGGGCTTCATATTTTCACTACTAAACCACATAAAATTTATATTGCTTATATTAGCTACCTAAATGCAATTCTTTTTAATAAAATTAAACTATAAATATGTAGTCATTTAAGAATTAATTAAGGGAGAAGTAATCATAATACATTCGTAAGTTTGAAAACCAAGAAATAGCTATATATAAAAGTATAAAGATAAAGAGGCAATAAAAAAAGATTTTCCTTAAATGACGAATCAAACATTGATCAAAATCAAACATGAATAGAAAAATTTTGATCTAAATCAAACATGAACAACAAAAACAAGCCCTAATTTACGTTGACTGCATGAGGTTCAAATTTTATGGCTAGCAAGTTTTTCTCGTTTGTACGGTCTGATTGAATCAAATCCTATAACCACATCCTAAAACTAAAATAAAATCTCAACAAATCAACATATCATAACTTTAAAAGGGGAAATATTTAAATATGAAATTTTAAACTAAAAGGCTACCTATATAGTAGCGATCGCATCTTGATTTTCTCAATGACAATGGTCGATCATAGCCACCTCATCCCTACAATAAAACTATAATTAACATGAATTATCATGAATTAAGTGCAAAGTTAGTATACAATTTGATGATATGTTTATAAATACAACAAAAACTATACCAATGAGCAATCAGAGGATACACATGTTCGAGGGATCTGTAGTTATCGACAATATGCGAATAACTCCTATCCAACCTCGGCTGCGGCCTCGATGCAAAAGAAGTTTGCTTCGGAGGGTGGGGTTGAGGCAGCGTCGGGTACGCCTGAGGTGGGGGGGGTACCCATAAGGTTGAGAATAAGAATCAAAGCTTTGCGTTGACGCCGGAGACTGAGGAGGAGGATAAGCCTGATAACTCGGAGCTTGATTCCACGACTGCTGTTGCGAAAAGCTCGGATCTTGAAACGAAGACCTTCGATTGAAGCTTCTTCCACCGGATTCCGTTGAACTCTTTGAAATTCGCAATCTTTCAAATTGAATAACAATGTTCAAATCTGGAATTTGGGGTTATTTTTTATTAGGGTTTTCCAGTGACGGCCGCTAAATTTGTGGAAAACTTCGTGGAAGCGAGGATGCATCGTCAACGCGGCTATTTGTGTTTTTGGTAGATGTAACCGACTCCGAAATGGGGAGAGAGAGAGAGAGAGAGAGAGAGAGAGAGAGAGAGAGAGGGGGGGAAATGGGGAGAGAGAGAGAGAGAGAGAGAGAGAGAGAGAGAGAGAGAGGCGGTATGAGGGGGGTAGGGTGGTTTATTTAGGAAGTTTTTATCTTAGCATCATTTACAGGAATAAATAAAAATAAAAAGAAATTAAATACGTGGATAATGATAAATTTTACTGTTCATAGTGTAGTTTTCCTTTAGTTATAAAGGAAAGTAGATACGTCGAGTAAATTTACTGTTCTGCATAGTATTTTATCTTGTTATAAGCAATACATTTTTTGGATTATTCTTTAAGTATAGAGCAATAGATATGATTTTTAATTTTAAATATTCAATAATCATATCAAATAACAAAGTTATTTTTTAAAATGCAATGCTTAAAAAAACATGGAGCTTTACTTTAAGTATACCACTAATACCGGTAATGAGAAAGAAAATGATATTCAGGAGGATCTTTCTTATTGAACAAATAACACTACACATCAGACATTTTATTTATACTAGCTGGTAAATCTGGGCTATTTTATAAAAGTTCAAAAAAATCTGGAAATACAAGTATTCGGAAATTATGTACATTTACCCAACAAATGCTGATCATGATATCCTACTTTAAGTAAATGTTACTCTTATAAACAAGTTCTAAATTCATACAAAATAATGTGGATAAAATTTAGAATTGCTCTTTTCGCAAATGCTTTGTATACATTGATACTGCTATTTAAAAGAAATTGTGAAGGTACACAAGATTCAAGGAATAAATCATTATTTCTTCAATTTTGTAACAATAGAGAGTATTTTAGTAAATATAGGAGTAATTTGGACATTTTTTATTATTATGTATTGATGCGTACTTCACCTCTCTCTTCTTTTATCTCTCACTCTCTAGTTACGTTGGCCTTTCATTTCTCTTCTCTAACGAAAAAGTATCATTTATAACTCTTTTAACAATAACATAATTGAACTCTAAATTTGACATAACTTTCTAAATAGTTTTGCTAAGCATAGTTTATGTAGTAGTTTACTTATATTTTCATGTAGAAGTCTACAGGAAAATTTACTTTTTTTTTTAAATTTTGATCATGTGCACTATCTATGTATATCCATTTTTTATGAGTACTTTTTAAATAGACATAAAATGATCACAACTTAAATTTACATGTAGAATCGAAAATTGTTTAGATGGAAACTTATTATTACTTGCACGTGCAATTGCATGATATGCTAGTTTGAAGAAAATTATTCTATCAAGTAATAACTGCTTAACTCAGGGAATTGGATTGCTTATTTTCTCATGAATATTGATTATCTAATGCATAATTGTGACTAATTCTAAATTTAATAGTCATTATACTTTCATGACTTGCATTCATTTCTAATCCATATTTGAGGGTTGTTTGGTTAGATGGAAATAGACTTGCAAATCTAAATAGAGCAACTACATTTCTGAGTATATCATTTGGTTTATAACTTTCTAATTTGGAAAGGTAAATAGACTTGTATTTTGTGATAAATGCTATGATCAATTTAGTGGAAGGAAAAACCATACATGTCAAAAAAAAAATCAAAAATAATTCCACTTTATTAAAAAAATCTTTTTAAATTCAAATAGAAAAACTATCTACACCCCTGTTTTCCTCATATAACAAAACTTTATAGATTTTGCCTAATTGTTTTTCAACCAAATTAAACTTGCACCTGGAATTCTCGAAATACATTTCCTATAATATAATTCTAGATATCCAAACCTTAACGTCTTGTTTGGTACACGAGAATGAGTGAGGATGGATGACAATTCCAACTTCTCATTCATAAATATCAAATATGATGTGTTTTCCAATGCTAGAAATGTCATTCTCACTTCTCATCAATCCCCGATTGATGTGGAAATTGTTATTCCCAATGAGTTATCAAGGAGTTGATATTCCCAGTTAAGTAGGGATGAAAGTAATAAAATAAATTTTAGATATACCTTTTTAAAACATATTCCCACTTAATTCTCTATTTGCAACCAAATATGAAATGAGAATGAGCATTCCATTCCTATATCAATTTTATTTTATTTATACTTCATTTCATTCTCACTTGATTCATTTCCTGCGTACCAAACAAGGCGTAAATTTGAAGCTTGACTTCTTGCAGCGAATATTGTATGTGACATTTGTTGGTTGAATTAGGTTTGCAGCAAACCAAATAACCTTGAGCACAACTCATAATTATTCGTTAGACCTCTTATTCATAGGCAAAGAAACAGCCAACACGTGGGGGGCTTGTTTTTCTCCGGATGATTCATGATTGTGAGGGAACGAAAGCAAAGGAAAGTAAGAATAATCGCATTTTCCTGCTCAACATTATTTTTTCTATTTATTTTAACATATTTCTTACTCTTATGAAGAAACTTCTTGACAGTTTAAAGGGTTACTTTCACAAAAAACCCCTGAACTTTGGGAGGTGTAGCACATAAGCCCCTGAATACCGACTCTCCCATCCGAATAAATTTGAACTAGTGATAGAACAATACCTTCCCTCAGGAAAGAAATTTGTGATTTGACGAGTTAACCTCTGCTTGTAAAGGCGTCGTTATACATAGAAAAACCATCATTGCCTTTCTTGCTAAAACGCCTGAAAAAGACAAAAGTAGGAAGCTCTTGGGAAAACGACACAAAATTAAACGAACCTCAAGCAAGCACATAAGCATTTGGAGGTCCAAGAATTGACCCTTGAACAGTTAAAATCAGAACAAAACTCTTCATGGTATAAAATTCATAGATTGCTCTTCTTCTCCAAAAAGCGAAAAAAAAAAGACAGAAAAAAATTCCCCACCGTCCATTTTAAATCACACCATCCACACTTGGCGGCCAAGACTCTAGCAGACCAAAAGAAAAGGCAACGTGTCCATTAACGCGGAAGTCATAGGAGCCGACGAAAAATTCGCCTGCATTTGTGAGTCCAAACTTGCAAAAATCAGGCCACCGTCTACTAGACACTAGTATAAAAAAGATCCCGCGAATCTCCTCTATTTATAACACACAGCCTTGAGCAATCTCTGATTCAATTTTATTGCAATAAAAAATGGCATCGTATGGAGTTGCTCTTCATTTTAATCACACGCCTTCTTCTAAATATTTAGCAACCAAAAGTAATTTTCAGGCTAAGGCAGAGAAGACTGTTTCGTTCGTTACGACGGAGAAACAGAAGGAGGTGTCGCTTAAAGAAATCGGATTGCAAAGAAACATAGAATCCAACATTATAGCTTCCCTCGCGGTGCTCATTAGAAGAGCACCCCGAGAAATCTTGAAGCCGCCGGATACAAAAACGATACGTTGGGCGGAAATTGTTATTGACCAAGTGAGTCTGGTTTCTTTAATCTTTTTTCTAGTTAATCTCTCTATATCATGAATTTATGATACGAGCTTATGTTAAACTTGTATTTGTGCAGGCTATTATCAACTGCAGATTCTTTACGCTCATTCCGGTTGTGGGAACGTTGGTTGGCTCAATTTTGTGCTTTGTTGAGGTATGAGTTCAAGATTTTTGTTTTTTTTTTCATAATGGATTTTTTTTGAAAGTAAGCTCAACTGCTATGCTTTTGATTCGGTTCTCAGGGTTGTTTCCTGATGCTAGAGTCTTACATTGAGGGTTTTCACATAGTAACTCAGAATTTGGACCATGGGAGGATGGTGGAAATGGTTATTGAAGGCATAGGTATTTAATCTATTAGCCTACTACTTATACTGTATTTTCTTCGGTCTCATTGTATATTTATGATTTTTTTTTTAATATTTATCAACTTCGCCTCCTTTGCAGATGTGTTCCTCGTAGGAACTGCTATGCTTACCTTTGGACTAGGCTTGTACTCCATGTTTATAGGCTTAACGACATCTAGTGGGCTTTTGGCCCGTGGATCTAATCGCTCTACTCTCTTTCATCCAAAGGTGAGCTATTTATCGTTTGATTTGTGACCGTCAGTAGGCTTTATGAGCGAGTAGAGGCATCTAATCTAGTTTTCTCGCGAGATGTTACCAACAAGTTATTGAACAGGCATTCGTCTGTGATGCAGACAAAAAGCAGACTAACTAGTAAAATGAGAGTTATTTTAGAGATAATTTTGTGTTAGGTTGTAAATAAATGACATGAATACCTCCCACTCGCTTCCTTGTAGGAGGAAGTACCTCTGAAAGTTCACCGACGGTGCGCGTGGCAGCTCTAAAACCTCTCGTCTTAGTCTGAAATAACAGAACCAAAGACTGCTTGAGTAAATTCTAAGCGTGCTGTTCTAAAATGAAACGAGCCCGTGTATTGTCAATTTATGTCCTGGGCATTGCTAGATGGTATTATTTCCTTATTAAACACTTAAAAGCCGATTGTTCTGATCTCACGTCTGCTTTTATTTCAGATGCTCTCCGGTTGCTCCAATACGAACTCAATCCCTCGGGCAAAGTCAAGATTAGGGCACGCGGTTGTGATGCTCTTGAAAGCAGGGGCGCTGGAAAAGTTCAAGAACGTGCCATTGACAACGGGATTAGATCTCGCTTGTTTTGCTGGGGTCCTAATTTTCTTATCGGCGTCCATGTTTCTCTTATCACAGCTGCATCGCGGTCCAGAGGAGAGAACCACGGTTGAGCCGAACCCGCATACGGTTTAGCTTCATAGAGAACATCTGACCATCCGAATGTTTTAACGGTGCAAGGCCATTGTTAAAGAGAGTATGTAGAGTGGTGTAGAGAGTTGATACACGCTCCATTTATTTATTTATTTATTTATTTTAATTTCAAAAGGCTGATCACATTGGAATCGGAGTATTCAAGGGTGTAAATGAATGGGTTCACCAATTAAACCAAGTAAACAGAGCTGTTGAACAAATTCTATGAGAAGAGCTGAGAAATAGTGTGAAGCAGAGGTAAAGAGCGATGACAAGAAAACCCTACTCCATAAAGGGCAAAAGAAAGGGTGTGAGACCGCATATTCACAGTATCCTATCTCCCAGAAATCAACTTTTAAATGACTTATAGAGTACATGCTAAAATTTTTTAAACTTGCACTTATATACCCTCACTTGCTTTTGATAACACCTATACACCCTAAAGTTTTTAAAATCCGGTACTTAAATACCCTAAAGTTTTTAAAACTGACACTTAAAAACCCTAAAGTTTTTAGAATTTACATTTAAATACCCTCAAACTTGCATAATCGAGAGTATTTATGTGTAAGTTTTAAATACTTTAGGGTATTTAAGTGTCAATTGTAAAAACTTTAGGGTATTTAAGTGCCACAGAAAAAAATGAGGTATTTAAGTGCATGCTTAATTAATCATGGGTATTTTCTTGCTACCAAATACAAGTTGGGGTACATAAGCAAAAAGTAGGTGAAACAATAGGGCTTACAAGCGCTGTTTAGTCAATGAACTGCAAATTACCTGCCACAGCAAAACAGTTTGGTTACACAAAATTTTTACAAAATAAGAAAACAAAGCCTAAATAAAAAATAACATTAAATGAAAAGAATTTAATATGAATCTATGCTGCAGGGGAAAAATTATGCAACCATGTTCTTCCGTTGTAAGTACAAAAAGAGAACACAGAAAAGGAGACTTTACACCTTGATAAAAGCACGTAGGTGCTTCCTCCATCTTATCTACTTTTATTTAGTGAAAGAATCACCTCAAAACTGTCATCCAGAAGATACAGTTATAGCGTGTTATCATACAGGATATATTCCACAACATATTTAAGAAATGAACTAAAACTAGAACTTAGGACTACACATGACATGTGATAAGATGCTTAGGGAAAAAAAGCATAAATTACAACAACACTGTCAAAAAGATGTACATATGTCTACATTGAAGCAAGAAGGTCTCGCATTTCTCCCACAGATGGAATGCTCTCATTAGGATATATCTTGGCAACCAATTGAGCAAAGCTCTCATACTTGTCCAGAAATTCTTTCTGCAGGGCAAGGATAGAGGAAGTCAGATAAGTTAGCAAAAGATAAAAAGTTTTCAAAGTGCTAGTAATATGTGTATTCTAGTGAAAGAGACTTTCAGGGAAAGAATATTAACATATAATTTGAGCTCAGCATAGTTCTAACTGAGATCTTTCTCCAGCTCTTCTAAAGACAAGAACTACACAAATGGTAATACTTAATGTGACTACCGTTTCTTACTTTGAGAAAATGAACTCTAACAAGATTTCCAAGCGTTAACCCAAACCCTCCCTGCCAAGGTACCAATCAACCAATATGGTTCAAGGCCAACACGTTGTATTGGTTACTTCACTAGGATACCCAGTGTTGAACGCCTAAAAAACAATTCACTAGCGTTGTAATGATGTACTACCTATTATTGTCTGAGCCAGCAAATGTATTGAGATGACGGTGAAGATTGCTAAAAGATCTGGCACCAAAATCTATAGTCGTCTTGAAGGTTTCTATTGTTGGAGAACTTTGAGCATACTTTGCCGACATCATTAATTACAGATTTCTAGAGGAATATAAATAAAACCGATTTAAAATGAAGTTACAAGCCATTAGGTTTGAAATAACAGTTCAAGAAATCCAGCCACATATGCTGTCATGAAAATCAATCTTGGGAGTATACTAGAAAAAATACCTTGCATTTATCCCATAAGGATGGCAGCAATTCCTCTGAAGTCAAGTTCCTTTGCAATTTCCTATACATGGCATTGATGGATTTGTCAACCTGTCCGAAGAGGTAACTGAAAGTTATCTATCCAGGTGCTAAAAAAACAAAAAAGCAAAAAAAAAGTAATTAAAAAAAAAGGCAGTTGATCGTCTTCAAAAGCTTTACCCCAGACAAACTGGATTTCAACATCTTTCTGAGGTCTGTCTTTGACAATCCAAGCTGAAATGGGATCTGCAGAATTAAAACAGACTGTCAGCCAATAATCAAGGTTGATTTTTTAAACGCTTCCACATGATCTTCCATCCACAAATGCACCATAAAGTGTAAAGCCTCCAAAAGGGACAAAAAGAAAAAGTACATGTGAGCGTACACATAAGAAGCATGAATCAAGCACAACAAAATATCGAACGTATAATTACGTGGAGCAGTCAAATAAAGATTAAGATGGATCAAAGTTCCTAAAAGAAAGAAGAGAATCCAAATGCAAAACTAGATGGTCGCCGTGAGTTTATCATTATTAGGTCCAATGAGATTTTGCTAAGATGTAAGTAAGCTATGAAGGCAATTCTTTGATCGGGCCTCAAAAGAAAACCAACTACGACTCCTCTCCTAAGCACAAGATTATTCAGAATGATTAAGTGATTATCATGAAAAACCAAGTTAATGACTAGATTTAAGATCAAAACTAAATCTAACATGCAAGAAGTCATATTTCTAGGGGTTTATATGCGAAATGGTTCAAATTTAAAAATAAAAGTAAAAAATAAAATGAAAAAAAAAACACTCAGGCTTCGTTCACAAGGATGTAGATAAGTTTATAAGATAACTTTGGAGACAGTTATGATCTTAATCAAAAGGATGTTACTGAAACAAAAAATGAGAACAGAGAACTATTCAAACCTCATTGAACTAAATGAAAATTTTCTTACCCGATAACTGAGGAACAGGTCCAAATGTAAAAGAAAGTGTTGCCAAAGTTGGGAACTATAGGAATTTCATATTTGGGCTCCGCATGGAAGAAGGTTTTGTCGAGCTGGAAATCAGATAACAATAAAGAGTTGTGAATCCTTGATGAAGATTCACAGATAGACTTGTCTAAGAAGCTTCATTGTGGTTTTAAATTGGATGCACTATGTAGGTTATGCATGCCAGGTATATCTCTCCCATATCGCACATGGCATGGTCAGGAAGGTTTTGAATGCAAAACGATCCGATACACTGGAGGTATCCGGCACACATGAGTATTTACAAAAGTGGTTTTCGAGATAAAGGGATGGGATAGAGATAGTTTTGAGTATGTTTATACCCAAAAGCTATACGAAGAGGAAATAATTGACTCCACTGGCGACCAGACGAGTGAGTAAGCTTCTACCTTATGGCTGTATAGACTTCCAAAGGCAATCATGCATTTTTGAGAATTATGGCATGAGTTGAAAACAAGGCATCTATATTTGATAAAGGAAGTGGTACTTCAGGAATGAAGTAATCTAACAATTAAAATTATTAAAAGAATGTGTAGGTTTGATTGAGGAAGCCAGACTGCTGCTACACCTTCAGATAACATTAGATGAATGAATCTATAGGCAGACAATAGTAGAAATGGAACACGAGAAAGTCGCATTGACATGAAGAAAATTTAGTGATTTCTCACCTCCTCAGGTGTAATAGTGTACATTAGATCCTCAATTTTCCTTGCAAACTGAAACAGTTTTTCAAATTGCTGCAGAAAGACAATTAGATAAATCAAATAAGCACTTGTTCTTATACTCAACAGAAGCTAGAGCTCGTTTTAACAGCGGGAACAACTTATGTTGAGCCCTGAAGGAAAAGCAATGAGAAAGTACAAGTTGAGAGAGCTTGTGCTTACAATATAAATGATCATATTAATATGACGAGTGCATGCTTGTTCATATGATTCACTAGCCTGATGATAAAACTTTGCAAGTGTTGGCACAACATTAGCCAAATCATAAAGGCTGCATCCAAACACATCATGTGAGTAAATTGTCTGATACTCAGAGTCAATTTGATGGATTAAGATGAGTTGAGCGAGAAAGAGAAATTAACAACAAATGAAGAATCATGAGACTATAACAAATTGACCTTATCCCATCATTTGGATCACAAAAGAACATATTAAGACAAATGATTGTTGGAGAACCTGTTCTGGAAAGCTGCATAGTTCTCCAAAAGTATAATGTCGGCATGCTTCTGATCACCTTGTGCAATCTTCTCTAATGTCCCAAACATTATGCTGACCTGTTGCAAGTCCCATGCTGATTAACTTCAGAAGTCCAAATTTAACCATTTAAAATCCTAAAAATAAAATAACAGCTAGATAAGACCTAGATTTGTCTAGCACATAAAATTTATAAATGAAGGTCATTCAAGACCATATGTATCCCATGAAGATAGCAGCTTCACTTACTGTCATTCATCAATAACACAGACTCTCCCAAACTTCAATATATCAGGTCCGAGTTTATAACGATAGGTTAAGTCCTCCTCATTAAACTATTCTTTATAGGAGGAAATACAATGAAATACTCAACAGGACTTTTAAACTAAAATTTGCATTATTTTTTGCAACTTCAAAAGAATAATGGTTATTATTTGTCATACGAGGAACATCGACATGCATCGAGAGAGATATTGGCATCCTTCCCAAATCTTTAAATAAAAACAGACGTACATATGCATGCATGCACAAATATGCATACCTATATATTATGAGAGTACCGGTTTCCAAAGGAGACCACTGGCAGAAAAAGATCATTTTACCGTCAACTGAGATTTATCAACACCATTTATGAACCGCTAGTTTAACAGACCCACCAAAGATTTTGTACTTTTAATTCATGATATTTAACCTTTCATCAGACAGTTGCAAAATTATCAGTTTTACTATAACAAAACATTTTCACCACTATATTAAGTAGAATAAGTAATTCATGAGAGTGGTGTATGTACTTTTAATTCATGCTATTTAACTTTTCATCAGACAGTTGCAAAATTATCAGTTTTACCATAACAAAACATTTTCACCACTATATTAAGTAGAATAAGTAATTCATGAGAGTGGTGTATGTACTTTTGATTATGGAGGCCAAGAGTAACTGAATTAATCATCTAACTGAAAGATACTTTCACCCCTAAATTAGGGAAAAAGAGTAAGTAATTCAAGATAAGTGTAAATACTTTCAATTATGAAGGCCAACACTATCTATCTGCTAAATGAGCTACTAACAGGTAGAGTATGGCACAGCTGTCTGCTAATTGAGCTACCAACAAAACAGACTAATGGTGATACCAATACTGCTAGTCACATAGGAGTAGGTAGATCTCAACACTCCTTTCTCTTGGTAGCTCATTCTGCTTAATGAGATGGCAACTCATACTTTTACATATACGGTATATGAGTATTATGTGTGTGTGTTGTATATCAAGTTTGACCTAAAATGTTCATCGAGCATGATTGAGCAAGCTCAGAATTAGTTTAAATTTAGCTCCAAGAGAAAGATAACCTAAGCATATATTATGTCTGTCCTACTCCTTGCAGATATCTTGAAGCATCAAGTTGCCAGTGTAGGTTCTATTTCAAATTGAGTAAAGGAAGAAGCAGGACCAAAAAAATAAGCATCCATTATAGTGTCATGAGTACTTATTGAGGGTTGATAAGCAACAGACTACTCACTAGTTTTGTGTAGGCTCTGTCAACCAAGTCTCTAGACTGCCCCTGTATATATTGCTCCATACGTGTCGCAAGTGTGGCAAACCTATACAGAAAAGAATACCATTACTTAAGCACAAACTATCATTAGTCAAAGATAATGATATTTTTCCAGATAGAACAGCCTTCTTTAAACAAAAGGCTCACTACAGAATCAAAACAAGTACCAATCATTACATCTACTACTTGAATTATCTGTTTTATTCTGTTTTGCATGCTGGATTCTAAGATGTAGACTGTCAAGTGTTAATCAACACAATTCTGCAGTGGCCAGTAGGTTAGGTCAGACATGGGTTCGCTATACTGTGAACTGACTTCAATGTCATAATTAGTATTTTCAAGAAATTTAAAGCCACATTCGATTGACTAAGATGAATTCCAATATAATGGTAACCGCTTAGAAAGAAGATCAATTAGCATAAACAGTCAGAACTAACTTAACTAGAAAGCTAACATGAAAACTCAATGATGAATATAAAAGAACAGCATCAACCTTGGAATATAGGAGAACACGCCCATTTGTCGTACACTACGTTCATTCCTCTCAATTTGATGGCAAGCCTCATCAACAAACTAAAACACACAAACGATAACATGAGACAGAGCGGGGAGAAAAACATTCCTAGAAGCTGCCCACAGTACTATTACTCTGAAGAGAACACACCCTATTGAACTGCATTGATATTCTGGATTCCAAGTCATCAAGAAGCCGACGCACAAATCCTGCAGCATCCGCTTTCTGACCAGAAAGGTAACGCTCTGTAATTCCGTGCATCGATATGCAGCGCAGTGGATCAATTTTGTATGCCCAATCTACCACTGCATAGAAGTCTTCCTACACATAGTTAAATATGAAAGTCAGCTCCATGTTTCTCTAATTATGCATTCTGGATCAGTACGCTCCTAATTATATCGAATTAAAAAAAAATCTGCAAATTAGTTCAATCCATGCCTCCAACAAATAGTGAGAAGAAACACCTCCAAAATTGAAGGGGTAGATCCCACCAGTACTCCACCAAAAAAAGGAAGGAAAGGATATTCCACATTCCATTATGAATAATTCTATCATTCAAATACGTAGTGTATTTTCCCCCTTAGTGTCAGTAAATACTGACTGAACCCCCCCCCCCCCAAAAAAAAAAAATAATAATAAATAAATAAAAATAAAAAATAAAAAACCGCGGGAACAAAACACACCCACACCTCACCCCAAGCAAAAACAGTTGGACCTGACTATGTGCATGCATTAAGATGCATTACTGAAAACATACTTTTCTCCTTCATAACTATCCGACTTTACCAAAGCGATGGATAAGTCTTAAGGACTTCATCAAGAAACAGAATCACAGGATTAACTTTATAATTGTTTGGCATCATTATCAAAGCATCTCAAGATATAAAATCTGATTGCAAGTTCATATTCAAATTCAAGAATTTAGATGAACTTCATCATATATAATTTTACTTATCTGCTAACATTCATCTTTATATCTAAAGGTAATTGATAACTTGTTTCTAAAAAGAGGGTAGTTAATAACCTTGACCATGGCTCTAAGTTTTTTCAAGAAAATTTACTAATAACATTATTTCATACATTATAAGCTTATCTTCATAGAGAAAATATTTATAAATGACAAATTACCTGGATTCCATCAAGTAATTCTTGAAGAGCTTCATTTAATGTTCCTAGCTCAGTTGGTCCATTATCTGCAAAGAGATTATATGCATTTATAGTGGGGAAGGCTTAAAAAAGGATATCAGACGACAACCTGAAACTAAATAAATAAAAGCAACCAGTTGATCTGATTGTGAGAGAAACATACTCGACTTGATATCATTTCCATCAGAATCTATAAAACTTATATCATCATCATCATCATTTGTGTCATTGTCATCAGATGAATTTTTGTTTCCATTAGCAAGAGCACCAGGTGGAACAAAGGCAGGAACTTCAAAACACATGAAATGCGCAAAAAAAGAACTCTGCAGAAGAGTAAGCATGGGCAGCCATACTTAGTATGCAATAGGAAGACCTATGCTAAACAAGACCCATGCCGGGGCCAGTGCATGAAAATACAAAACAATAACCTCATCCACAAGAAGAGGAATGAAAATTGTAAGCATCTTCGAGTATGCTTCAGAAACGTTAGAAGTATCCGCACTATTTGCTGTGTGACCAGGACCTGCAGAAGCTTCTAGCCAAACAGTTGGGTTTCTCGATGCCTTTGTGCTTGCACGAAGTTCACTTGCAAATTCACGTGCCTGAACGTACCAAAACAAAGGAATTCATCAGTAAGACAATGGCAAGCCCAATTATATCTTCATGTGTCAGTGGACTAATTTTGGTCTAAATAAAAACAGAGCACCAAGAAGAGTAATGTGAAATTATGCCAACCCAACGTTGAACTAGAATCCATAAACATTTTATAAATAAACATTGTAGTACTTCCTAACATCTCCTCTGTGGCTCTGTCGTAACAGCACTCCAAACTCTACGGGGACAGTAGTATTATAATTTTATATCATGCACCCCGCAGATTTGAGCACCTTGTTTATGAGCCAAAAGGCCCAAAACCTGTGTTTTTTTCCAACCCAGTTTTTAAATGCACACTCAGACGAATTTAAACTTTGATGGATACAATCTTAAAGCCACCACCACTGCAATAATGCTAGAAGGGATTAAGGTAAAGGTTGAGGGTTGTAATTTTACACCTAACAGAGTCAAGGTGTTAGATTATAAGCAATGTTTTAAATATCGGCTACCATGTCGGACATGGCGGCCGATATGACGGTTTGATACCCTAGTCGTCACGAAATCCTTGATTTTAATGCGTATTGTGTTTCTGAGGTCATGTCGGAAAAAATCGGGTATGTCGGGTGCCATTGCGGCCAAGAAAAATCGGCCAAATTTCAGAAAAAGCGGTTTTAAGCTTAGTGGGTCAAGTTTGAAAAACCCGACCCGACCCAATAAGCTCATTTAACTTTTCTTTAGGGTTTTTTTTTTGCCACAAGTTAGCCACAAATCTGTTTCCCGCCTCCCCTTTCTCCATTTCTTCGTCCCTGCGAGCTGCGAACCCATCTTCTTCTTCTTCGTCCCTGGAGCAAAGGTAATGGCAAATATATATATATATATATATATATATATATATAATTATTATATATATATATATATATATATATTATATTCCTCTCTTTATTTTCTCAGAAGCTTCATCTAACCTCTCTCTCTCTCTCTTTCAGCTTCAGTTCAAGAAACCCTCTCATTCAGAAGCAGAGCAAGGAGGTATGTATCTCTTTCCCTCTCAGTCTCTTCTCTCTCTCCACTCAGTCTCTGTCATCTCTCTCTCTCATGTCCCTCTTTCTCTCTCTCAACCTAGTCTCTGTTCTCTCGATATCCTCTTTTTCAGGCCGCCCCCCCCCCCCTTTTCTCTTTCGTCTCTCCTCTCTCAAGTCTCAATTCTTAATTTTCTCTTTTTCAGTCTCTCTCTCTCAATCTTTTTTTCATCTCTCTCATAATCTCATTCCATGTCAAACAAAAATAAAACAAGAAATGTTATAAGCCTGCAGAAAGAGGTCTATTTCTCGATAGCCTTTCTTCTCAGATGCAATCGACCATAGGCTATCTAAATTAAATCAGAATATAATTGTTGTTAGCATTTAACAAAGAGGAAAAAGAAATTTCTGTTAAGAACAGTAACAAAGAGCAAGCTAGGTAGTACTTATTAAGTTATAATCAGCCACAACCTTATCATGTGATTTGAAAACATAGTTAATATCAATTTCAAGCAAAATATTTTTATAAAATTGAAATGAGTATTAGACTATTAGTTGAAAACAATACTTTGGTTATTTACATGCATGAATCATGATGCACAATTATTTGATTGAGTTGTAAATATGTATAATCACCACGCATGAATCATGATGCACAATTATTTGATTGAATTGTAAATATGTAATTGGTTTTAAGTTTGTTTAACTAATTATATGTTTGTTGTCTATTATAATTTTTAGGAACATGTCATCAAAAGGACAATGGTCTACTAAGCCGCCAACATCAAAACCGGGCGGTAAAGATCCATATTGGGCATATAGGGAGAGAGTTGGCTCCGATACCAACAAGATTAAATGCAAATATTGCACTCAGACATTCAATGGCGGGATTACCAGATTCAAAGCTCATTTAGCCGGAAAGAGAGGGAATTGCACACCGTGTATAAAAGTCCCTGATGATGTTAAAAGAAAAGTCTCTGAAATGGTGGAGAATGCAAAGAAGAGCAAGGAGGATAATGAGACAAAGATCCATAATTTGTTGAGTGAAGTGCATACAGGGGAGGACGAGGAGGAGCATAACTCCTTGACTACTCAAAGAAGCTCGTCATCCTCTTACAAGACAGTAGGCCCAATGGACTCCTTTGCTGTTCGTTCTCCCGAAGAGACCGTCCAATTAGTAGCTAAGGGCAAACAACCATCGATGGACTCCAAGCTAAGAAAGAAGAAAATGAAAGATGTTATGCTATACATCTCCAAATGGTTCTTTGAAGCTGGCATTCCATTTCATACAGTCACACTTCCCTCTTTCCATCAAATGCTACAAGCCGTAGGGATGTTTGGAAGTCATTTACAAGCTCCATCTATGTATGAGTTGAGTAAGACTTGCTTGCAGAGAGAGGTGGATGCAACGAAGGAGATTGTTGAGAACTTCAAGAAGACATGCATTGTCAACGGTTGTTCCCTGATGACTGATGCTTGGAGTGATCGAAAGTCTAGAAGTATCATGAACATAGTTGTACACTCTGCCGGGAGGGCATGTTTTTTGTCTTCACATGATACATCAGCCGATAAGCATGATGCTGACTATATTTGTGACTTTGTGGACAAGGCTATTGATGAGTTAGGGGAGAAAAATGTGGTGCAGATTGTCACCGATGGAGCTTTAAATAATATGGCGGCCTCTAAGAAATTGGAGGAGAAGAGGAAAAACATATTTTGGACCACTTGCGCAGCGCACACCGTGAACTTGATGTTATGCGACATAGCCAAGTTCAAACTCATTCATAATGTCATTACAATAGGGAGGAGTGTATCGGTATTTATATATAATCATACCAAGCCTCTTCAATTGTTTAGAGAGTTTACTAAGGGTGATCTTGTGAGACCGGGGGTTACAAGATTTGCTACGACATTCCTCTCACTGCAATCATTAAGGGATCACAAGAAAGAGATGAGGCGGATGTTCATCTTTGATCAATGGATGGATTGTAGCCTTTCAAGAACAACGGGTAAAAATGTATGTATTTAAATTTTAAAAATTAAAATTGATAGCTACATCCTTTCATCATTTATATTTCATTTGTTCTTTGATTGTTTGTATTATTTGTAGGTTGCTGAGATAGTTGTTAGCAACAAGTTCTGGGACAATATAGACTTTGCCCTCAAAGTTTTCAATCCTTTAGTGAAGGTTCTCCGGAGAGCCGATAGTGATAAAGTCCCATCTATGAGATTTATATATGGAGACATGTTGGTGGCCTTGGAAGAGTTGAAAGTAACCCTTGGAAATGATGAGAAAAAATATATTCCCGTATTGAAAATGATTAAGCCAAGATTCGATAAGAAGCTTTGTGATTCACTACATAAAGCGGGCTACTATTTGAATCCATATTTCTATTATCCGGCTTACACTAAAATTGAAAAAGATGGAACCTTCATGACATCCCTTGTAGAATGTATGCATAAAATCTTCTCAAATGACCATGCGACTTTCACAAAGATTAGAGCTCAATTACCTAATTATCAAGAACGTCTAGGGTCATTTGGAAATGAATATGCGAAGCGAGGAGCTTCTAGGGGTGATTGTCCAGGTAACTTTATAATATTAAATTAATTCATTAACCTCTATTACAAATTTATAAATTACTAATTTTTTCAAATATGAATTAACTAGTTACATGGTGGAGGTTTTATGGGAATGATACTCCCGAATTGAGAAAGATGGCAATGAGGATTGTGGCCTTGACAACTAGCTCTTCGGCATGTGAAAGAAATTGGAACACATTTGAGATGGTAATAAACTAATAATGTTTCTTGAATTTAGATCATGTTGTAGCCTTGTAGGTTTATAGCATTTTTTGCTAATTCACGTTTTCACTTGTAGATTCATACTAAGAAGAGAAATAGATTATCTCACAAAAAGCTTCATGACCTCGTCTTTGTCAAATTCAATGCAAAATTGAAGAACAAACATGCCGTCATAGATATAGATCCTTTGTGCGCCTATGATGATGAGGAATGGTCTCTGAATGGTTGATGGGTTCAAACGGGGATGATAGCGATGATGAAGTATTTCCGGGAGAATGTAATGGTTGATGGGTTCAAACGGGGATGATAGCGATGATGAAGTATTTCCGGGAGAATGTTTGACTTTTAGGCAAGTTGGACGGGGATGATAGCGATGATGAAGTATTTCCGGGAGAATGTTTGACTTTTAGGCAAGTTGGTGACATTTCGGGAGCTAATCCAAGAAAGCGAAAAAGTGCACGAACGCGAACCTATAAAAGAAAGAAAATGTCGGTATCATCTTCTTCGAAGGGGAAGAAGCCGGTGGAGGATGATGAGGAAGAAGATATTGAGACATCCTCGGAGTCGAATGAGGAGGATATTCCTACTCTCGATTTTGATGAGGATTGATTATAGTCATCTTAGTTTCAATGTTATTTTGGAATTACTTTTGGATGTTAAACAATTATGAGGTATTTGTAACTTTGAAAACTTGGTTGTATGCTTGCTTTGTTTATGTTTCTCTATGGATATGAATCATGTGATTTTCATTCTATATATTATAATTTTTATGTCACTTGCTTCATTCCTTATATGCTATTCTATGTTTACTAACAACATCTTCATATTTTGTAGGTCAAGCATTCGGATGGTGTCAATATGCACTCGGGAATCAGGTGTCTACAATTGGTTAGTGATCCTAACATCAATAATCATATGTTTAGACAATATAATTATCAAGTATGTGAAGATTCCATTTATGATATTATATCAACCTATCCGATATGGCAATCCGGTATTTTTTCATGTCCCCCGATATATCCCCGATTTTCGCTATCCGACATGAATTTTGGCCGACCGACATGAACCCGACATCCGACATTTAAAACATTAATTATAAGTATGCATCAGCAGTAGCAATGTATCAAGCAACTGCTGCTATATCTTGTACTTTAAGTTAAAGTAGAACATAAAACTCTAGTCAAGGCAAGGCACAGTAGTGAAAACAATAGTAAACATATCACCTAAAAAATATCCATGAATATAAATAAGAACTGCAAAATGTTAGAGTCCAAAGCATTATTTTCCCCTACCTCTCGACGAAGTAACAGGTTAAGTGAGTGACAGTATGCCTTTCTCAGAGGACCTAAACAACTTTTGTCAAGACCCTGAAGATATAAATACAAAGTAGACAGACTGTATCAGAAGGCATTCCAAAACCAAGTTCTGTTCAAAGCATTACGTTCTATATGACCAAGTACCTTCAAGTGCTGCAAAAGACGTGCATATGTCCTGCACTTATATCTCAAGTCAGCATGGTCAGGCCTTTTTAACTGCCCTCGCTGTAGGTACTCAAAAGAAAAGACAGGATCAGGTTGAATTACAGTGACATCATCAATTTATTTGAAATGCGAGAAGACAAAAACAATAACAATGGGAAACTACCTGAGAAAAATAGCTCTTGTCATTTATCATAAAATCTACCAAACTAGCAAAGTAGTTTCGTAAGAACTCAGATGCTCTTCGAACAAATGTGTTCTTCAACTTTTCTAGTTCTGCTCTTTTTTCCCTAACCTGCATGATTCAGTAACTCTGGTTCAGACTCATTTTGTGAAACTAAGTGGGAATAAACTTCAACAATGAAGAATCTATGAAGAAATGTTCTCTAAGAATGATGAATATATCATTATTATGTGACAAGAAATCTCTCATCCATAAATTACCAAGCCTTAAAAGTCAATATTGAAAGAAAAATTATCATTTACGCCCCTTGTCTACAGTTCCCTTAGTCTAGGAGAATGTTGCAAGGCTACCTGGCTTGCATGAGCTTAAGCTATGCAACAAAC